CTCAGGGGTTGAAGTAGTACACCATTTTGATTTTTTCCGAAATCGGTCAACTTTTATCGAAGTTATCAACTTTTGAAAATTTCATTAAAATTCGTCATTTTTTTCCAGAGAATTGCGAGTAATAAAGTTCATTTTTTTAATAACGAAGATTAGTTTATATATCTAAGAGTTTATTTGCCAAATATGAATGTAATACGAGGCGTAGCAATATTTTTTTTGGCACCGCAAAACCGACAATCAGCTGTTGATCGGCCATCGTGTACACGAGGTAAACCATAACGATCTTAATGAAAGTGCTGCATATAAACGGCAATATTTTTCATGTAAATAAAATAAATATGAGTTCAAAAAGATAACTAAATGATACTTAAAGTATTAAAATATACTTTTAGCTATTAATGATTATCTAAAAAAATAGTTAAATATTTAAGGATTGAAGTGGATATTAACCATAGGATGATTTCGAGAGAATTGTGAGACGATGCTAGTTTTTGTTGCAAGAGGATGACGTCATGCGTAATGGCCAATGAAATTCGTCAATAGTCGGGGGGTGGGGGGTGAGGGATAGTTTTAATTCTATTTTCAGAATTGTGGGTCAAAGGTCATCTGAAAAATTTATAAATTTTTCGGGTCGTTTGCAGTAAAAATTTACAATCAAATGTACACTATGTTATTAGCATTTACAAAAATTAACAGAAATATATGGCAAAAAGTGACAGAAATATTATTGTTAATGTTATTAACATGCAACTTGCTATTCACGCACTCATAAACTTCAAATGTTTATAAAACCGTAACCAGTGGCTCAATTTTCCTGAGAATAAGTAGTTTTTTGTGCTATTATTTTTTTATTTTTTTATATTCAACTTTGTATTTATCATGTGGTACCTATACATGAGCACCGTGCCGTGATTAGTCCGTCTATTAGACTAGCAAGGCCTAGGACTAGCCTAGGCCCTAGGAGGCCCTATTCTAGATAGCCTATCTACAGGCTTAGAGGCCTAGGCCCCTACCCCCTAGGCTAGGCCTAGGAATAGATTAGGCCTAGGAATAGATTAGGCATAGGCCTATGGCTACGCCTAGGCTAGGCCTAGTCACCGCTCTCTGCCTGCTGTGACGTGTGCTTTAAAAATCATCGCTTAAATTAATGAATTTGATACTTCCTTATATACAGGTTATTTCATATAAAATACATCATATATCTTACCTTTAGAAGCTTGATAAATTTATAAGAAAATACAATAGGCCTATTATTTGCTATCAGTAACACCAAGCACTTGCATTTGATTTGTTTTCCTTTTGATTCTCAGGTCTCCCGTCAAAATACTGGTTGCTAAGTAACTCAAAAAGGCGCATGCGTACATATAGGTACTAGAATTCTTCACTGCCGTTGTAATTTGTATACGGGCTCTAACTTTAACCATTAAAGTTGTCGTATGTATAATATTTAAACAGAAGATCATATTTTCCTCTTTATATTACATCACAAATAAACTTAGGCAGGTGAATATGCGATTCATTCTTGTGAAAGAATTTATATTCTCGCTGTGTAGACATGATAGTGACCGTCTCAATCAAGACTATCAATACTTTCATCGTTGGGGGCGCAAAACAAAAAAGTTAGTTGCGCGTCTCGTAACCAGGAAGCTGCTAGGCAGTACCATGCCAATAGTCATTATGACGCGCGCATGCCGACCTGTTGAGTTTCTATGAGACAGGATCAGTTTACAAAACAAACAACTCCGGTTATTTTGGTCAACAAAAGTGTTTAACAGTAACACTTTCAACTTTTGTGCTTCCATTTTTCACACAGGAAAAATAGGCCTACATTGAATTGCAATAGTTTAAGTTATTTTCATCAAGCAAAGATCAGGTGGAGAATTTGGGAGATTATTTTGTTTTGTAATATCATCATGTCTGCCTTGCACTGGGAAGCACTGAGGAAGCAAAGAGTTATAGATAAGAAACATCATCAGGTACTTGAAGAAAAGGTAAGGATAATTTTAAATTATCAATATTTATTCAATTCAAAGATTAAAAGTTAAGTCTCATAATTTTCTTGCACTTCGTAAACTGAGACTTCAACAATCCAAAAATTTTAAGGCTAAATATTGCATTTTTATAATTTTATTAAAAAATACACTCAAAATCAACACAAAGCTTGAAAAAAAAAAATTAACATAAAAACTCGAATATAAGCCCAGTGGGCTTAATCTTAATAAGAAGCCCATCTGGCATTGAAGCCCATGTTGAAAAGAAGCCCATCCAAAATTTTCCTAAAAAAGAAGCCCACCAGGGCATCAATTCAAGATTTTATTATGGCATATGGCAGGGCTCGAAATTTGCACTAGCAAACTAGTAATTTGCTAGTAGGTTTGTCATAATTGATGGGCAAACATTCACAAACCAGCAAATAAAAAAAATGATTGCTAGTTGCAATATCTATACAAAATATCTTGTAATTAGCCTAGTAAGTAAAACAAATTAAGTCAAGTAAAATATGAAAGAAAAGTTACATAAACTGGAAACTAATATAATATAAAATTAATATAAAATAAAGTTTATTTTATATTATATTATTTTGAAAAATTCCAAGAGGTACATCTTTAATATAAAAAAAATCACAGATATAAAATAATAATTGAATACATATTATATACTTAATTTATTTTTGAAATAAATTAAGTATAAAGTAAATTATTCAATTTTTATTTTGTATATCTGTGATTTTCCATAATATGTTCTGAAACTGCAGTGAATAAATGTACAAGGTATAGAAATCAATTGCTTATACTCATTTGGCTATTTCTTTGTGATATTTATTGTACTACACTAACTATAACAGAAAATATTATATTACAAAATTGAACACACAAATTTCAATAGAACAATCGTAATCATTAGTTGTTATTTTCATACAATTTATTTTTCAAAAATAATATGTTGAGTTGGTATCAATATATTTTACTAGTTGAGCAACTCATTATGCTAGTTACATTTTTGGCGACTAGCAAATTTTAGCAATAGGTTACTGTGGCTAAAAAGTAAATTTATAGGTCTGTATGGCCTGATAAAGTATATAGTTCATGAATTACATTATCCCCCCTCCCCCACCCATTTCATACCCAGCTCCTCACTACCACTTTTGTAAGAATCCATAGTTTGGTGTACCGTATTTGCATCTAGCTGCTTTGATAAAGAAAAATACACTTCTTTTTTTTTTTATAAGAACACATTTTATAAGAACAATGAGGCTGAAATTGCTTAAAAATTAAGAACAAAATAAGAACAAATTGAGGCTCAGTAAAATGTTAAATGAAATTTTTATGCAAAAAAACCAAAAATTATGGCCTTCCCTATTTGTACCCAAGTTCAGTGTGATTATTATAATACTCTCATAATACAGTTCAGTAGATCCATTTTTAGCAGAGCCTTTTTTCTCGGGCCATTTTTGACCAAGGCGACTTATATACTGTAATAATTTGAAGTTTGAAAAGTGTGTAAAATAAGAACAAAATAAGAACATTTTGAGCCTGAAATCGGCCAAAAAATAAGAACACTGAGCCTGTGCCAAAATTTACTGGTTCTTATAAAAAAAAAAAAAAAGTGTAGTTCGATATAATATCTGGAAAAAGTCAGATTGACTTTTTAAACCAAAAACCTCCACAAATTTCAAGATTAAATTTCATTCCCTTGTATGTCCTTTTCTTTTTTTTTAGAGTAACATTCTCATTTCTTATGGGCCTTGCCATTTTCATTGCTATTACAGTACTGATAGATATATACTGAAATAATTAAGGGCGCATAGAAAAAATTATTAGATTATCACTCTTTTAAAAAAAAAAATTGATGAGGGAGGGCGTATACAATAGATTATTTCGCTTTTGTTTATCGATGAGGGAGGGACTGTTTATGTAAATTGGCTAAGTAATAGTACATATTGTATAAAAACTGGTTTAATTTTATGGTTTTTTAAAGAAAATGTATTTGAAGTCACAAAATTGCATTGTTATTTTTATGCTGTTAAAATAACTGATGCGGAAAAAAAAATTTTTTTATTCCTGCATCAACATTTCCCAAATTTTTTACGTGGGCGGGAGTGATAATCTAATAAATTTTTCTATTTTCCCTAAATGTTGCACTGTTATTTTAAATTGTTACTCTCTAGGCAAATAGTAAGCTTTTCTTTTTGTATGTTAATATCTTTTCTTTTCACTCCCAAAAAACAATTAGAAACAAAAAGCAGCTGAACAAAAACTTGAGGATGAGCGACTCAAATTTGAGAAAACAAACACAGCAAATTCATACCAGCGAGAACTTGCATCATCTAGGTCTGGGAACAGTCAAAAGACACCTCACTGTCATCATAACCAAGATGCAGAAAGAAGACTGTATTCCAGAGATAGATGCAAGATGGATTATAATGCTAAAATGAGTGCCAGATATAATGTAAGATTAAATATGTATATATATATATATAAAATCAAAACAAGATGACGCTTGGTTACAAATTCAACATTTTATTGCACTACAGGCTGTTTCATGAGGTACTTCCTCAATCATCAGGTGCTAGGCTCTGAATGAGACTGCAGATTAACAATCATGCATGGTGGAACTGTTAATTGCTGTATAGATTATATTGTTATATAGTTTATTGGTAAATAGGTTAATTAGTATACTCATTATTATTCATAGAGGTGATTAGAAGCTCTGTATTGTATAGGCCTATGTATATTGGTACCGCAGTAGAAATTTTCTTCTATGCCTACATGCACTAATCAATTCATTCCTACGGTTAAGTGAGCTTAATTCAGGGTCACATATAATGAAATATTTCTCGAGCAAACACAGATTACAGCGTTTACTGATATTGGAGTATGGTTTGCATTTACCTAATATTTTCCACTTAATTTCATATTTTATATTATCGGCTTTAAGTTTCCAAATGTATTGGCTGAGTGCCGTGCCTGTCTCTTATACACATCTAGATGTGTATAAGAGACAGTCGCACAACCACCTAGATTGGATTGGATTTATTCAGTGAAAACACCAAGGATAGTAGGGTCCTTCTGGTGGCAATTTGGCAGTACACCAGGAGACAATGCCCTACTCTTTTCTGAAGTGTACTGCATTCTTTAATGCAAGATGCACACAGAACCAACGGCTTAAATGTGTCCTGAAAGACGGTGCGCTAATTGTAACTTGTATTTCAGCCCATATCAAATGATGATGTACTGTATTTTTTTAGGTTATTTGTAAAAGCCATATCCTGGGCTTTTGCCCAAGGAAAGGCTGGTAAATTAGGCAGAAAGTAAGGGGTGGGCCTATACCTAAGGTGTCCTACTCTTTCAAACTTTAGATTAGAAGTGTTGACTAAACTTGAACATGCTGTATTAAATGTTAACCATGTTTACAACCAATTTCTAGAAGCAGATATTATTACCAAATTACACTATGCTTTTTCTACAAATATTTCTTTACAAAGGAAGTTGAGATTGATAAGTTCCGTAAAAATTTTGTAAAATTAGAGTGTCAAAAATAACCAAAATTAAGCATGTTCAAGCATTATAGTAGTTTAAGATCTGCATAAGCCAATTCGTGGTTTAAACTGTGCATGCGCGTATACAGTGGTATCCTAGGTCAATCGATATAAACCTTTGTTGTATGTATGTTTGTTTACGTCAATGACCTTGATACGAGCATGCACAGTTCAAACTCCATTTTGGCTTATTACTGAGCATCATTCATTTATAAATTTATTTTAATATAAACTTATTTATTTATTTTATTATATTGAACTAATTTATCTGTACTATGGTGTATTAACAAAACCATTTGTATTGTTTATTGGCCATCTATCTGTGTTCTCAATTTTAATCAGTTTTTTTAGTTTTAAGTTTCCTCTTCAAGTTGTGAACGCACCAATCTTCATTAGGATAAGTTTGATCATCGCGAATTCATTTAATTCGAAACGTTTGATTTTCAGCTATTTTCGTTATTTTTTCGCACATTTCTCTTCATAACTTTACTTCTACTTGGCCGATTTTCGCAATTGTTCTTTTATCCTATTCCAAATTTAGTAATAGGTTTAATAATCTTAATTTTAATCCATAAGGTTGCCAAATCTCGTCGGACTTTTTGCTTTTGTAACCAGTTTTTCCAATTTTCCCTTGTAAACCTACGGTTTTAGTAGAGATGTGGCGAATCGCCAGAAGTTTTTATGTAGCAGCCCTGCTGATATTGGGCCGATTTTCGGCATTGTTGTGGCAACATGTAGCTTTATTTATAACCTAAAACATATGTAAAAATCAATTTGATTGGTTAATAAACGACGTCAGAATTTTTATTTTTGTAAGAATGAACCAGTAGCAAGTCAGTTTGAAGCCAATGCTTTAGAATAGCAAACAAGTATTCAACCGTATTTTTGAGCAGAAGAAGCTTAACTTTAGAGTTAAAATTTAGAACGTTATTTGCATTTACTTGAATATTATTTTTATTTTGTCCTCCGTCTTATGTTTTTGGCAAAAACCATTTGCTAAAAAATGAAAAAAACAATTTTTAAATTTATTTTTTTTCCACCCTCCTCTGACGATCTTTCAAAAAATAAGTTTGCAAAACAAGGTACAGTATAGAAAAAGTCTCGCCTCACTATGAAAATTCTTAAATTTGGGCCACATGCCTGCTGTTCACTACTATATACATAAATAACTAGAGCCTTGCAGGCGTCAACGTTCCTATGCATGATACAC